CTGCATACATCCAGCAGCCGCTTCTGCCCTCTGCCCCGCCTTTCGCTCCTTTGTCGCAATCCGGTATGCCTGTCTTCCCTCGCATCCCGAGCTGGCGGACATGATCACCTGCTGGTCGCAAGGGCCTTCGTTGACCGCCTCGATTGCCTACCGGATGGCCTTCCTCCCTCACTGCGCAACTTCAGCTGCGACCTGAGCTTCGCAGGCACTTCTCTGCGCTCCACGGGTTGGACGTGTGGCTCATTGCTCACAAGCATGGGCCCTACACCGGACAACTTCACCGCTCACCTTGGCGGTATAAAACCTCATCACCGCTGCTCCCTGACATGCTCATGCGCAGCCCACTCCCCCTCGCGCCGACTCACGGGGGTCTGGTCAACCGACCTCTGTAGGTTACTTAGGTTCGCCTCCACTTCCTCGACGAGTGTTTGCGTTATCCTCGACGTGTGTTTGCGCTCTTTGAGAGCGGATAGTGGTGAAGGACTCCCCCTGTCGTTCCAGACCCTGCTCGCTTCGACATCGGGGATCTGGGTAAACGACCTGCGTATGGCCGTAGTTCCGCTTCTTTCCATTTCGTCCACCACGCAGCTCCTCATGTCGTTCCAGACCCCCCTTCCCACCCCGAGGTGGCGGGTCTTGGTAAACGACCCGCGTGTGGCCGTAGTTCCGCTTCTTTCCATTTCGTCTACCACGCAGCTCCTATGTCGTTCCAGGCCGCCCTTCCCACCCCGAGGTGGCGGGTCTTGGTGAACGACTCGCGTAAGGCCGTAGCTCCGGTTCTTTGCATTTCGTCCACCACGCAGCTCCTCTTGTCGTTCCAGACCCCCCTTCCCACCCCGAGGTGGCGGGTCTTGGTAAACGACCCGCGTAAGGCCGTAGCTCCGCTTCTTTCCATTTCGTCCACCACGCAGCTCCTCATGTCGTTCCAGACCCCCCTTCCCACCCCGCGAGGTGGCGGGTCTTGGTAAACGACCCGCGTATGGCCGTAGCTCCGCTTCTTTCCATTTCGTCTACCATGCAGATCCTCTTGTCGTTCCAGACCCCCCCTTCCCACCCCACGAGGTGGCGGGTCTTGGTAAACGACCCGCGTAATGCCGTAGCTCCGCTTCTTTCCGTTTCCTCCACCACGCAGCTCTTCATGTCGTTCCAGACCCCTCTTTTTACCCCGAGGTGGCGGGTCTTGGTAAACGACCCGCGTATAAGGCCGTAGCGCCGCTTCTTTCTATTTCGTCCACCACGCAGGTCCTCATGTCGTTCCAGACGCCCCTTCCCTCGCCGAGGTGGCGGGTCTTGGCAAACGACCCGCGTATGGCCGTAGTTCGGCTTCTTTCCATTTCGTCCACCACGCTTCTCGTGTCGTTCCAGACCCCCCTTCCCACCCCGAGGTGGCGGGTCTTGGTAAACGACCCGCGTAAGGCCGTAGCTCCGCTACTTTCCATTTCGTCCACCATGCAGCTCCTCTTGTCGTTCCAGACCCCCCTTCCCACCCCACGAGGTGGCGGGTCTTGGTAAACGACCCGCGTATGGCCGTAGTTCCGCTTCTTTCCATTTCGTGTTCCAGAACCCCTCTTCTCACCCCGCGAGGTGGTGGGTCTTGGTAAACGACCCGCGTAATGCCGTAGCTCCGCTTCTTTCCATTTCGTCCACCACGCTCCTCATGTCGTTCCAGACCCCCCCTCCCACCCCGAGGTGGCGGGTCTTGGTAAACGACCCGCGTAGGGCCGTAGTTCGGCTTCTTTCCATTTTGTCCACCACGCAGCTCCTCGTGTCGTTCCAGACGCCCTTCCCACCACGAGGTGGCGGGTCTTGGTAAACGACCCGCGTAAGGCCGTAGCCCCGCTTCTTTCCATTTCGTCCACCACGCAGCTCCTCATGTCTTTCCAGACCCCCCTTCCCACCCACGAGGTGGCGGGTCTTGGTAAACGACCCGTGTATGGCCGTAGTTCAGTTTCGTCCACCACGCAGGTCCTCATGTCGTTCCAGACCCCCCTTCCCACCCCGAGGTGGCGGGTCTTGGGAAACGACCCGCGTGTAAGGCCGTAGTTCCGCTTCTTTCCATTTCGTCCACCACGCAGCTCCTCATGTCGTTCCAGACCCCCTTCCCACCCCGAGATGGCGGGTCTTGGTGAACGACTCGCGTAAGGCCGTAGCTCCGGTTCTTTGCATTTCGGCCACCACGCAGCTCCTCATGTCATTCCAGACCCCCCTTCCCACCCCGAGGTGGTGGGTCTTGGTAAACGACCCGCGTAAGGCCGTAGTTCCGCTTCCTCCCATTTAGTCCACCACGCAGCTCCTCTTGTCGTCCCAGACCCCCCTTCCCACCCCGAGGTGGCGGGTCTCAGTCTTGGTAAACGACCTGCGTCAGGCCGTAGCTCCGCTTCATTCCATTTCGGCCACCACGAAGCTCCTATGTCGTTCCAGACCCCCCTTCCCACCCCGAGGTGGCGGGTCTTGGTAAACGACCCGTGTAAGGCCGTAGTTCCGCCTCTTTCCATTTCGTCCACCAAGCAGCGCCCCTCATGTCGTCCCAGACCCCCCTTCTCTCCCCGGTATGTTAAATCCCGGCCGTAGCTCCGCTTCTTCCATCGCGTCCACGACACAGTGTTCCCCAAGTCGTTGCAGACCCGCTTCTAGCTCCGAGATCGGGGACCTGGGTAAACGATCCGCGCACGGCAGTAGCTCCGCTTCTTTCATTTCGCATTACGCATCGCTCCTCACGTCGTTCCAAACACCGCTTCTCGCAAGGCCGTATAGTCTCGCTCCGAGAATGTACGACTCTCGTGAAGCCGTATAGCCGCTACCCCGATTCTTACCATTACATGCCAGGCCTCGGTTTCGAGTCCGGCTCAGCTGGGCCCCCCCGCCTCTACGCGTCTGCGAGTGCATTCTCGTCCTTCCCCTTCTCCAGTTACCCACTTTGCGTCGCCCCCCCCTCTTCTGGCCCAAACCCCCCTTTCCTAACCCAGACTTGGGCCACGTCCGGCGGGTTTCAGGCTCCCCATTTCTTTGGGGACCAGTCCGTGCCGGTTTCGGCCTTCGTTTCCACTTATACTCCAGACTCTAGTTCAAGCCCCCTCTGGAACCTCCCGCGGAGGGGGCCGATGACGCTTGCGGAGGCCCCCCGAGATGCTGGGCGGGGAAGAGTGGTGGAGGCCGCGGCTACTGCTGCAGGTCGAACCCTACCTGCCTACCTATAGTAGGATCCTTAGTATGATTTAAGGAATATTCCTTAATTAAGGGATATTGGAGTCTCTGGGGGCTTAGGGTTCCGGTCTACATCTTGGTTCAGATTAGCAGGCTGTTGGGCTGCAGATTGTATGAGGCCTGGGGATTTCGGCTTTGAATCCACGAAACCCTGGACCAAAAACCTCGTGCAGAACCCCAAACCCTGCAATGGGAGCCTTAATAATTAGAATAGGGTTTCGGGTCACATTTTCCTGTAACTACAAAAAACCAAAAAATAGTATTGGTAATGATTTAGGCCCGTAAATTAAACCCTTAAACCAGAGCGGGCAGAGTGGGACATCACAGCTCAGAGATGTGAGCTCGATGGTATCTTCTTGGGCTTGGGGTTGCTGGGTTTCGAAAGCTTGGGTGTTGGGGTTTGGGTTTGCGCGACGGTTGAAACCATGGGCCCCTGGTATGGGCCCTTAACCCTGGGATCCTTATTTACCCACTATATACCCTATATAGACTCTCAAGGGTCCCTAGAACTCCCTCCAATAAAGGTTTCCAAGGGTAAAAGGAGGGACCCTTAACAAGGACCCCTAGGTATATACGCTTAATATAGCTACTATATACCCATTGTATAGCCCATTATAGGGTAGGGGTCCCCATTAAGGGTCCCTCCTTTTCCCCTTTGAGGTTTGCGAGTTAGGGTCGAGATTAGTGTATGGAGTTGGGGGTCCATGGAGTTTCGGTTCGGTGTTGCTGGGCGGTGGTCAAAAAGATTAGCATAGGGGTTCGGGATTCGAGCGGATGTTGTGAGAATAGGGTTTTGGGGTATATCATAAGTATCCTAGTTATAACAAGGAACCCTAATGAATGGTGAGGGTATTTCTTCCGCCTTCTATTTTGCTGCTTAACAGTTCCTATCAGGCCGTGGATTAGGTCAAGGTTTAAGGCCGCAAATCCCCGATATTTCCTACAGTAGAAGCCAGAAAGTTGGAATATGATTATCCTAACCCTTCTAAGGTAAATTATAGGGTATCCTACCATGAAACCATATTCCAACTTTCTGGAGTTCCCTGAAAGCCCTTGACTTGAAGCCCTGAACCTCAGACTCCCAGAGGCCAAACGCCAAGGTGGCTTTTTAGGGTTTAGGGTTTAGGGTTTGCGCAACAAATCGGTGCCAAAGCCCAAATCCCTAATCTTCTCAGAGTAAGAAGCGGTTACTATAAGTGCCTAGTCGACGATATCCAGCTTCAGGGTATCTATCCTACAACTTTAGTTGTAATCGGCGACCTTGACCAATCGTGTTACGAATTTACAGGGCCCCAGACTACAGTCAAAAATCTTGGAGCCCGAAAGGCAGAAATCTACTCCACGACCGAAGCCAGGAGCCTTCAAAACCCTAAACCCCCAAAACCCTACATCCTAAACCCCCCAAGACCCATTTCAAGGACCAAGTTTTCGCACGCAAGCTATAGGCCGTTCGGGCTCCACCCTAAACAGAAACCGGCACTGTAAAACAGAAGTCCTACAGCCCTATACCTGCATCCCTTTTTCCCGCTTCTGTCCCCCACAACCTGTACACAGAGGACACGATTATTTGAGAACCCAACAACCCGACAGTTTGCAAGGCTGCTTTGCCACGTTTTTGACAGGCACTTTCTCTTGATGGGCGGTTAAGGTCAAGCGTTAGGGTTGTTAGGGTCTTTGCACTGTGACTTTGGAGGTTTCGCATGGGTTGGCTTGGGTGCTTTGGCACAGCCGCGATGGACCTGTACAAGTCTGCACACCGGGCTGGCAAACACTAAGACACCACAAGATTACTCAATTCAATGCTCCGCCCCGATCACGCTCCGGTCGCTGATACTGCGGAAAGTCCTGGGCGATTCATTCGGCTTTAGGGCCTAAACCCTAAAATGTGAACCCTACATCCTAAACCCTAAAGGCTTGGGATCGGGGTTGAGGGTTGAGGGCATAGGGTTTGGGTAAGACATGGAAACCTGTGCACGAAGCCAAGGTCGGTTCACGATTCAGAGAGTTCTATGCTTGGCTGTGTAGGGTGTAGGGCTTAGGCTGTCTAAGGTTTAGGGTTTAGGGTTCAGGGTTCAGGCTGTCTAAGGTTTAGGTTTAGGGTTTAGGGTTGCTTACCATTCAAGGCTCCCACGATCTAGGCTTCCCTATACCCCTTAACAACACGGGAACCCTGTGTAATTTGGCTCATTTAATGAGGAAGGCCCTCCCGAACAACAAACACTAGAGGATCGTTTGAGTCATATTGTCATATAGTACGGTCAGTATATACGGACTATCAGGGAATAGTCTTAGACATCATAGCACTGTAACATAGCACATCTACCGCAAGGCAGACACAGTATCAGAGATGTGCGGTGCCCTCGAGGCAGTGTTGAGCCGCGCCAAAGCAGCGTTGGTGCGGGTGTGATAGCGTGCTGCCAGGACCACCGTGCATCCTTGCTTCTCAACATTCGGTATGGGGTCCAGGGCATCATGGCTTCGGGCATCGTGGTGTATCGCTGTGCTAAAGGTTTCAGGGTTTGGGGTTTACGGCGTTCAGGGGTTCTAGATGCAAAAGGCTTCCCAATCATGCTGTGATGTCGCTAGAACTTGCAGGATTAAAGCAGGATGTATCATTCCTGACAATGGAACCACCATCCTTACATCTTGCATGGGTTGGTCAGTCGTCCTAAGCCCGAGCCGACCCGCCAATCCCGCTAACCTTAAGCCCTAAACCCCTAAACCCTAAACCCCAATACCCTAAACCCCTAAACCCCTAAACCCTAAACCCTGATCGAAACTTCTGCCACACTCACAGTCTGGCCCAAAGCTGATAGGCTGCTATAAGGGCCTGAATGACACTTAAAACTTCCAAAAGAAAACATACATGACGACGCCAATGCTAGATATGCAATGGCGAAACGATGTTCATAACAATAGCACGATGTTGTCACAATAGCAGCAATTTTCGCTGTTATAACGCTAGCAATGCTAACGGGAAGATGTGCTCCAAGCAAAAACTCAGTCCCCCGTGCATGCCGAAGCTCTGCTGTCAGAACGAGAACCGACCGTGGCTCCAAGAGCACGGCCCGAACTTCCCCGCTTCGAAGGCACCGGAAGTCCATGATGGTCGGGCTGCGGAGGGAGAAGCCCACCACCGCCTCCACGAGGGTTTAGGGTTAGGGGTTTCGGGTTCAGGGTTTCGGGTTTCGGGTTTAGGGTTTCGGGTTTAGGGCCTCCATGGGTAGGGTTATGTGTAGGATCACTGAAGCTTTGCATCATTTTATTGCTGAGTCCTGTGATGCCTCAAGCGGGCCGTAAGCCGTAGCCTTCTACGAAGGGTTTCAAGCTTTCGAAAGCTGCTGTGCTTCAGATCTGTATAGAACAGCTTGCTTGGCTGACTTCTGAACCCCTCCAAAAAGTTCAACTTTTAGCCTCCTTATTATGATTCATGTAGAAACCCAAGAAGTTAAAGTCCTACGAGCTAACCAGAAGAACGCCAAGCTTGTCAGCTTTCCCTTGACTTTCAATTTGCGGGACGGAAATCGGGGTTCAGGTGCAGGGGTTTGTGCCTTGTTTGGGTCGTGAGGTCAAGAACTGCGGGCCCAAAATCGTTGAAGTTGAAGTGGGACCGAACCCTAAACCCCACACCCTAACCTGAACCCGGAACCCTAAACTCCTAAACTTTAAACTCTGATAGTCGGAGACGATGAGAGAAAGCAGCCCAGCCCTCCAGAAGCTCATGCCATGCTATGAGCAGCAACCTCGTGCCTGAACCCCGATATATCAGGTGCTTGTAGGTTCTGGTGAATTTTTGTGGGATTCTGTTTCAAATCAGAAGCCCTAAACCCTAAACCATGAATCTTAAACCCTAGATTCTAAACCCCTAAACCCCAAACCCCAAACCCCTAAACCCTAAACCCCAAGCCACTAAACCCCAAACCCCTAACTGCCGAGAGCACCACTGACCATTTGCATGGGCGCTCGAGGCTCCGACCGAGGCCCCCGGCCGAGCGTCGGTGAAGGAGGGTAAAACCTCCCGGACAATGGGAACGGGGACGGAAGAGACGCGGTTACGCCTCACACAATACGGACGTCAGTCCGTGAAAATGAGGAGACCACAGTGCTTTTTGGGGGCCTGGCCTCCGCTGCCTCTGCTGTGCAGTTTGTTCACACTTCAAGCAGCCCTTACAGGGCGCGAGGGGCAAGTTGTTTGTTGGAAACCCTTGCTTTTCGTCGAGCGGCCGGCACAGGCCGCGAGTACCCACAACCCGACACCAATCCATCTCAGCTGTGGTTTCTTGAGAAGTATAGCCGTTTATGTGTCGAGCTGATAAAGGAAGCAGAGAGCAAGAAAGCTCCTCTTGATTGGGGTTTGGGGGGTGGACCCTAAACCCTAGTTGAGAATAGTTGGGGTGGTTGGGGCGGGACTACATGCTGACGCAAGCGCGCGATAAGTGGGTGCGCCCCTATTCCTAGAGCAACAGGCGCGCCCACCGCGCGCATACTGTTACAAACCTTAAACCCTAAACCCCTAAACCCCTACACCCTAAACTTAACTCCAAGCCCTAATTCCTTCCGCCTCGCCGAAGAACTCACGATCTCGGTGGGCCTTGATGCCTAGCCCATGGTAAATTTTTACACTCGTTTATGGGTTTCGGGGTTAGGCGCTTAGGGGTTTAGGAGTTAAGGGGTTTAGGCGTTGAGGGGTTCAGGGGAATAGGGATTTAGGAGTTTAGGGGTTTAGGGGTTCAGGGGTTTAAGGGTTTAGGGTTTGGGGTTTAAGTACCCATGAAACATCCAAAATGTTACCCAACCATGACAAAGATGCCTTGACCCCCCGTGTAGTCGTTGACGATGCACCTTGGAGATTGGCAGCTTCGGGCCCTCAACGGGTTTTTGGGCTTTGGGGGTATTTGGGGTCTCAGGGCTTCAGGGTTTTGTTTTAGTTAGGGTTTAGGGTTTAGGGTTTAGGGTTTAGGTTTAGGGTTTAAGGGTCTAGGGTTTAAGTTGTTTTAGTTAAGTTGACGGCCTTCTTTGTGCGCCTGCCCGAGTCGGCTCCTAACTAGGTCACACTGGTTTGTGTTCACAGTCCAGTGTTAACACGAAAAAAGTTCACGCGCCCTCTCACTCGTTCGTCCCTTTGTTTGAAGACCATGTTTAGGGTTTAGGGTTTAGGGTATAGGGTTCAGGTTCAGGCTTTAGGGTTTAGGTTTAGGGTTTAGGGTTTAGGTTTAGGATCTAGGGTTTAGGGGCTGGGGCTTTTATGACGACGCGGACGCAAAAGCTTCAGGGATTGCCAGGCACTACATGGCAAGAATGGGGCGTTCCGGAGTAAACCATATCGCAGTTCGACCGGGTTCTGGCAGCACTATCTAGTCTTCCGAAACTCGAAAGCCGTGCAAAGCATAAAACGGAAAATAAATGCTGCGGCTCCTATACAACGCCTTGCAATGCTTTGGAATGGCAGCAAAGTGGTTGAACATTGAGGCTTCCGTGCTGAAACCCCTTGCCCCCCCCAAACCCTCAGATACTGCCAAATGCTACATCCTAAACCTAAATCAGCAGCCCCAAACCCTAAACCTTAAGCTCTAAGACCTAAACACGAAGCCCTAAAGCCTTAACCAGAAGAAAACCTAAACCCCTACACCCTAAACCACTAAACCCAAAACCCAAAACCCCGAAATCCTAACCCCTTAACTTTGTACTCAGCACGCCCGGGGTGCTGGTCGAAATCCGGACTCTCCAGATGCCCCTCACAGACCAGACGGTTTAGGACGGCCTGGGGCAAAAGTGACTTTGGGAAGCTTTGCATCCGACGGCTGCTAAGCCCTATTTGACGGCTCGGGTTGACAACGTAAGAGATGCAGCGGAGTTTGGGTCTTGGGTTTGGGGTTAGGTTATGGGTTTAGGGGGTAGACTATACTATGATAAGGCGCACTGCAGAACAGTGTTACTAAGTCATACCGGCCCTGTAGTACGCCATGATAGAGGTACACACATGCGTTCGGCTTCTCCTATGACGCTCCATACAACCTACTTAATGCTTGCCCTGATGTTCAACACTTCCCGCCCCTGTGCCTGCGAGCAAGCGGGCATCTCGCTTCGCGGCGGATCCAGCTTCGCCAGGGCATTAGTGTGCCGATTGCGCCAGTGGAATCCGTAGCCATACCTGGGTGCAGGATCATCGCAGCGGCCAGTGCTTGTACTATCGTATACGGCGATGCTCTAGTCATGAGCACTTTGAGAATTTGAAAAGTAGATCATATCCTCTGTTCCGGGCTTTGAAGGAATTATGGATTGGGGCTTAGGATCCACTAAACCCGCTGTCGAACACATGACGACTAAGCCTCTCAAACGCTGTGGGCAGGCTGAGGCTGCTCCCCCGCAATCCGGAATCGACCGAGTCCTGCTTCCTCCGACATGGGGAACACGGGGAACCTATTCAACCCCGCAAGGTCAAAACCTTCACCGGGCAGGCTCAGGGCAAGCCAAACCCTAAACCATGAACCCTGAACCCCAAAGCCTAAACCCTAAACCCTAATAACGTACACCCTAAACCCTAATAACCTAAACCCTGAACCCCTTAAATCCTGAACCCTATAATAACCGAAACCCTGAACCTCTAAACCCTATACCCAGTGGCTGCTGAGTTCGCCGGGACTTGTTGTCCCCATCCCAGCCCGCTGCATCCACGGATGCCAATATGCCCTGCTCCTTCCGAGTCTGTCGTAGTCATGTAGGGGCCTTCATCAGCAGGGGGTTTTAGATTATTCTAAAGCACGTAAACAACAACAATAAACAATCACGTTGGCAACTATTCAGCTTCTGTGTTGATTCGGTTGCTGTGCTTATGGAGGCGGTGAGGGTGATGATTCGATGTTGCGATGAATCAGGATGATCATGAGGTGACAATGATGCTGATGATCTCGACGATGACGATGACCATGACGATGACGACGGTGCTGGTGATGGTGACGGTGCCGGTGCCGGTGCTGGTGCTGATGCTGTTGCTGGCTGGTGCTGATGATGATGATGGCGATGGCGGCAACCGTGTTACTGATGATCTTGGCTCTGATGCTGATGATGATAGTGATGGGTGGCGGCAGTGGTGGCGATCGGCGGCGGTGGTGGTGGTGGTGGTGGTGGTGGTGGTGGTGGTGGTGGTGGTGGTGGTGGTGGTGGTGGTGGTGGTGGTGGTGGTGGTGGTGGTGGCGGCGATGACTGTTGGTCACTGAAATGGTGACAGTTGCAGAGGAGATGCGCGGGAAATGATGATGGCAAAGATTCTAATTACGGCTGCACCGATAAACCTTGGTAGACATGACAAGGCGAATAGTAATGACAAAATAACCTTCGTCTACCAAGCGAAAAGGAATTGTTCTGGGCCCGAAACCGTACTCCTGAAACCAATTGTTATGTCACCCTTAACCCTAAATTCAAAACCGCCAAGAAAGAACCTCAAGCAATTTGTCCAGGTTTGTAAACGGCACCTCTTCAATGGTGAGGAAATCCGGAAGGTAGATCAAGCCTGGGACACATTCGGGTTTAGAATTCGGGGTGCAGGGTTAGAAATTTAGGTTTTATGCTGGGATTCGGGATTTTGGGTCTGGTTACTGTCCCATCCTTGTCTTGATGCGGCGAGCGCATGGTGCACGTCCGAAGGTTTAGCTTTAGCTTTAAAGATTCTGAGTTCATCTCTCATTTGATTGGTGCCAAGACCGGTACATAATGCAATCAATGCGATGTACCATACTCAAGCCTCACGGCATTCAATATTTGTTTCTACTTGAGTAATTTGAACTAGGTCCTTCAACCGGAGCCAGCCACAATCAAAAACACAACGCGTGCCATCCTTCTCTTACAAGAGCTTGAACCCTTAACCCTTAGCCCTAAACACAGGCTCTTCAACAGGGGTCTTTCTGGGTCTACAGCGCTCAAGCTTTTCGAAGTCTAGGGTTTGGGGAAACTTGGGAGACAAAAGTGCTGGGTTTGAGGCCTCATGTACCTCGTCGTGGCCTTTCAGGTTGAACTTGAGGCTACAAAAAATCTGAATACCCAGAAGCATCGAGCTCACTCTGCCCAGAGAGCCCAGTCGGACAGCACGCTTTAAATGATGACTTCTGCAATAGTTTTTTCAGGTGTTGGGCTTACTGGGTACCCAGTCAGACACAAGCGTCTCGCAGACGTGCATTTAAAAACCATAAAACACAACCTCCTGCCTGGCGTGCTTCACGGTTTGAAATTTAGGTTCAGTATACTGCCCGAAATGTTTTCTAATGGACGGTCATCTTGCTTCAAATCCCTGTCTTCGGGCATCTCCGAAGCAAACATTTTGACCCTGAACAATCACACATACGGCAAGTGCCCTTACGCAGCACCGAATAACACCAACCCTTCATGTCGTTCTTTTCCCTCAAATAGCCTCACGTCAACTTAAACCCCAAACTCTAAGCCCTGGACCCGATACCCCAAAGACCAACCCCAAACGTAAACCCTAAATCCTAACCCTAACGCCCAATCCTTAACCAAACCCTTAATTCTAAACCGTGGACCCTAAACCCTAAAGCCCAACCCTGAAACTAAACCCCATACTCCAAGCCCTGAACCCGAAACCCGCAGCCCGACCCTAAGCCTAACCGGCGACTCCTGTGGGGGCTACTGTCTAGGGACTCTCACGTGGAAACAGTGCCGCGACCCGGTTCATATTCCGTCTCTCGAAGTGACTGCCTCGTCCTCGTTGGGTGGCTGCATGAGCTCATCTATGGTGCGCTCGAAATCTGCCTTTGTGTTCAAAAAATGCAATCTCGCTGGTCAAGGGCACGCAGGGCAGACTCGAACTCGCGGGTCCTTTAGCTTCTCGAAATTGAATTGTTTCTTCCACGCCTGCTCAGCCTGCCAATAAACCGCACTGTAGCTCGTCGGAGGCTCCTGGAGCATGCACACTCGCCACAGTCAAGCCCGCCTTTGCGAGCCCTTCTCGGCCCGCTTGTTTGGCCGCCGTCACGTCCCGGGCCTATTTCTCTTTCTTGTGCGCCTTCTTCTCCTGCTTCCTTGGGTTTGGGCAAAGAACTTTGGCGTAGGCTCTGCCACACGGTCGTTCTCTGCGCCTCGCCGCAGCCTCCGTTTTCGTGTCTTTCCGTTTCTTCTCGCGCATAGCCTCTGAATGCGGCATGCATGTCAACGGGCCTAGATATCTCGTCCACATCTGTCCTCGTGCCTTCTTCTTGGGGTCCGGAGCTTTCTTGGCTACGTGCGCCGGCCTGGGACGTGCAGCAAACCCACTAACCTGAGCTGGTCACAGTCCATATGGAGGATGCGGGAGATGGCGTTTGTGGCAGGCTTGGGAGGGCGAGGCTCGGCCAGCTGCATAGACCTACTTGATGGGCAGGACCTGGACAAAGCCGGGCATTCTTTGCCACACTCTGCGTACCGTGCGGGAAACTGGCCTCCATCAAGATCGTCTCCAGTTTGGGCATCATGTCCCACAAGGCATGTGAGGCCTTGCCGCAGAAGCCTGCCACGTTGCTTCGACTGTATCCGTGCCGCACCTGGTTCGGCGAAGAGGGGGTTGCGAGCGGAGTACTGCCGGCAGAGGCAGCCCTCCGTTCATCTACATATATATATATATATATGCACGCATACTGATGCGAAATCTCGCCATTCATATGTAAATCTCATTAAAAGGCGTCCGCACTCGGGTGATTTTTTTGTCGCTAGGTGATGTTAGACAAACCCGAAGTCGCGTGGACATTCATCGAAATAGCAGAGGTCGCCCGCGGGTGGCATAGCAACCGAATCGATACCACATCTCTGTCCATGGGTTTCGCTTGTGTAGACTCTTGCTAAGGGCTCCCTGTGCTCGCCATGACGCACCTTCCAGAAACAGGGCTGGAGTTGGAAACCACTTGACAATCACACAAAAAGTATCTTAATACAAAGCAGGCCGACTGCTTAGCAAGGCCTCTCCCTCCCAGGTATAGTGGCGTGGAAACCCGCGTCTGTTGCGCGCAGGTCTGTGACGTGCTGCAGGGTCAGCACATCCTGCAGCCTTCCGCCCCACACGACGACGGAGCCGTCGTCACCTTAACGTGCCAACGAAACGCTTCCCGAACGGCCCGCCTTACTAACTTACACGTGCAGGTGCCATCAGCGCATCTTCGGTCGAGAGGCGCAGGGCGGCAAAGGAGGCGCCCGGGGAGCAAACCCGCATGACGTGCTTCAGCTGCCCCTCCACCAACGCCAGCCCGCTTGGTGGCTCTGCACGCACAGACCCCTCGTGCAAAAGGACGCACTCTTTCCCCGCGTAAACGCGCGGTTCCACAAGAGCCCTCTAGAGCCGCCGCATGCTTCCCCTAAACCCCTAAACTCCTACACCGCCTACACCCCTAAACCCTAAGCCCTAAACCCTATAGGAACCTTAGAGATCCCCTATAGATCCCTTGAAGGAACACAGCCGAAAGGCCTGGGATAAACGAATCCACACTCGCCGCTCCGAGTGTAAACTCCTCGCTTGGCTTTCTGTCGTCTTGGAACGGAGTTTAAGGGTTCCTTTAAGGTTCCTTTACGGGTTTCTTAACGGGTTCCTTAACGGGTTCCTTTTTAAGGGTTCCTTTAAGGGTTTCTTTACGGGTTCCTGTAAGGGTTCCTTTTAGGGTTCCTTAAAAGGTTCCTTTAAGGGCTTCTTGAAGGGTTCCTATAAGGGTTTCTTGAAGGGTTCCTTTAAGGGTTCCTTTAAGGGTTTCTTGAAAGGTTCCTGTAAGGGTTCCTGTAAGGGTTCCTTTGAAGGTTCCTGTATATAAGGGTTC